TGTCTTGGCAGGTAGACTCCCAAATATTTTATATCATCTACGGTTACTTTAAATGGAATTTCTCTTTCTATCTCTTGTTGCTGGGTTTCGTTAGTAATATATAGAGATGCTGATGATTTATGTGTGTTTATTTTATATCCTGCAACTTTGCTAAAGTTGTTAATGATTTCAAGGAGTTTTTTAGTTGATTCTCTAGGATTCTCTATCATCATGTCAGTGAAAGCTTTGTTTCTTCACTGCCTATTCTAATTCTTTCAATTTCCTTTTCTTCTCTTATTGCTAAAGCTAATATTTCCAGCATAATACTGAGTAACAGTGGTGATAATGGACATCCTTGTTTCACTACCTGATCTTACTGGAAAGGCTTCTAGCTTCTCCCCATTACATATATTGCTTGCTGATGGTTTTAGATAGAGGCTACTTATCATTTTAAGAAAAACTCCATTGATTCTTATGCTCTCTAGTGTTCTTAATAGGAATGTCAAAAATGTATTCTGTCAAAAGCTTTTTCTGCATCTACTGAAATAATCATATAATTTCTGTTAATTTTGTTATTGATATGGCTAATTATCCTGATAGTTTTCCTGATATTGAACCAACCTTGCATTCCTAATATCAATTCCACCTGGTCACAGTGTATTATCGTCATGATAAGTAATCTCTTTGCTACTACTTTATTTAAAATCTATGCATCCATATTCATTAGGGAAATTGGTCTGTAATTTTCTTTCTCTGTTTTGGCTCTTCCTGGTTTAGTATCTGCACAATATTCGTGTCATAAAAAGAATTTGGTAGGACTCCTTCTTTGCCTATTTTTCCAAATAGCTTATATAGTATTGGAGTTAATTGTTCTTTAAATGTTTAGTAGAATTCACTTGTTAATACATTTGGCCCTGGAGATTTTTTCCTAGGGAGCTCATTGATGGCTTGTTCAATTTCTTTCTCTGAAATGGGGCTATTCAAGTATTTTATTTTCTCTTCTGTTAGTCTGGGCAATTTTTATTTCTGTAAATATTCATCCATTTCACTAAGACTGTCAGATTTACTGGCGTACAGTTGGGCAAAATAGCTCCTAATTATTGTTTTAATTTCCTCTTCGTTGGTGGTGAATTCACCCTTTTCATTTTAGATACTGGTAATTTGGTTTTCTTCTTTCTTTTTTCTAATCAAAAGTTTACCTATTTTAATGTTTTTTTTTAATAAAACTAGCTCTTAGTTTTATTCGATAGTTTTTTAAAAATTTTTTAATTTAAATTTCAATTTTACTAATCTCTCCTTTGATTTTCAGAATTTCTAATTTGGTATTTAATTGAGGAGCTTTAATTGGGGAGCTTTTTCTAGCTTTTTCGGTCGCATGCCCAATTCATTGATCTCCTCTTTCTCTGTTTTATTCACGTAAGCATTTAGACATATAAAATTTTCCCTAAGAACTGCTTTGGCTGTATCCCAGAAGTTTCAGTACGTTGTCTAATTGTTGTCATTCTCTTGGATAAAGTTATTGATTGTTTCTATGATTTGATGTTTGACCTACTCATTCTTTAGGATTAGAATATTTACTTTCCAATTAATTTTTAGTCTATCTTTCCATGGCCCTTTATTACATATAATTTTTAATGCATCATGATCTGAAAAGGATGCATTTAATATTTCTGCCTTTCTACATTGGACTGTGAGCTTTTTATGCCCTAGTACATGGTCAATTTTTGTGTATGTGCCATGTACCACTGAGAAAAAGGTATATTCCTTTCTATCCCCATTCAATTTTCTCCAGAGGTCTTACCACATCTAACTTTTCTAAAATTCTATTCACCTCCTTAACTTCTTTCTTGTTTATTTTGTGGTTAGATTTATCTAGTTCTGAGAGGGGGAAGTTTAGATTCCCCACTAGTATAATTTTGCTGTCTATTTCTTCCTGTTACTCACTTAACTTCTCCCTAAGAATTTGGATGCTATACCACTTGGTGTTTAGTAATGATATTACTTCATTGTCTATGGTGCCTTTTAGCAGGATGTAGTATCCTTCCTTACCTCTTTTAATTAGACTTATTTATGCTTTTGCTTTGTCTGAAATTAGGATTGCTACCCCTGCTTTTTTAAAATTTTTAAATTTTTTAATTCAGCTGAAGCATAATATATTCTGCTCCAGCCTTTTACCTTTACTCTGTGTGTACCTCTCTGCTTCAAATGTATTTCTTGTAAACAACACATTGTAGGATTATGGTTTTTAATGCACTCTGCTATTTGCTTTCGTTTTATGGGAGCGTTCATCCCATTCACATTTATAGTTATGATTACTGTGTCTTTCTCTCCACCCTATTTCCCTTTCCTCCCCATTTATACTTTTCTCTGTCCTTTCACCTTTTCCCTCCTCACCAGTGTTTTGCTTCTGACCACTTTTCTCAATTTGCCCTCCCTTCTATCAGCCCCTACCCTTTTCTTTCCCCTTTCCTCTCCTACTTCCTATAGGGTAAGACAGATTTCTGTACCCAACTGAATGCACATGTTACACCCGCTCTGAACCAAATCTGATGACAGTAAGGCTCAAACAAAGTTTGTCTGTGTCCCTTCTTTCCCTCTACTGTAATAGGTCTTTGCATCTCTTCATGTGATGTAATGTGGAAGGTGCAAAGTCTTGTGTAATCCCAACTATAGTTCCACAATATTTAAATTGTTTCTTTCTGGCTTCTTGCAGTATTTTCTGCTTGACCTGGTAATTTTGGAATTTGACTACAATTTGGGATTTTTTTTCAGGAGATGATTAGTGGATTCTTTCAATGACTATTTTACTTTCTGGTTCTAGGATACCAGAGCAGTTTTTCTTGATAATTTCTTGAAAGATGCTGTTCAGGGTCTTTTCTTGATCATGGCTTTCAGGTAGTCTAATAATTCTTAAATTATCTCTCCTGGATCTATTTTCCAGGTCAGTGGTTTTTCCAATGACCTATTTTACATTTTCTTCTATTTTTTTTTCCATTCTGTTTGGCTGATTCTTGATGTCTCATAAAGTCATCTTCCACTTGCCCAATTCTACTTTTTAAGGAATTATTTTCTTCAGTTAGCTTTTGTACTCCCTTTTTCATTTGGCCAATTCTACTTTTTAAGGAGTGGATTTCTTCAGTGGATTTTTTTTTTCCATTCAGTCAACTGTATTTTTTAAGGAATTGTTTTCTTTAGTCAATTTTTGTCCTTCCTTTTCCAAGCTATTGATTCTCTCTTGCATACCTCTCATTTCTTTTCCCATTTTTTCTTCTACTTCTCTTATTTGACTTTTAAAATCCTTCTTGAGTTCTTCCAGGGAGGCTTTTTGGGCTTGGGACCAATTCATATTCCCCTTTGAGGTTTTGGATGTAGGTATATCGACAACGTTGTCCTTTTTTGAATTTCTGCCTTGATCTTCCCCGTCACCATAGTAACTCACTAGGGTCAATGTTTGTTTTCACTTTTTGCTCATCTTGTTTGCCTATTTCCTGGCTTCTAAAGCTGAGTTCTCCTGCTGGAGCACAGGGCGAACTGTCCCAAGTTTCCTGTGCTGGGTGCCAGGGACCTGGTAACTGGCTTTGTGTGCTGGGGCCTCAGGTTTTGGCAGGTAGGGGCTATAGGTGTCTGGCAGTTTACCTGGTATTGAGCCTGGGTCCCAACGGTGCTATCTGGAGTGTGCCAAAGCCAGGTGGGATTTTTCTGCATTTCCCTCAGGGCTACACTGAAGCACAAGGAGGTCCAACCGCCACAGGATGCCTGCCTACCCAGGGCTGCACCAGAGCACAGGGAGGTCTGGCAGCTGTAGGGTGCCTGTCCACCCTGGGCTGGACTGCAGCATGTGGTGGCTCCCCAAGCTGGGTTGTGCTAGTTCCCCTGGCTGTGATAAGGCACACGAGGTCCTACTGTTGGCATCCGCCTGCTCCAGCACCCTGGGGCTTGGGATCTCCCACTGGTTTGCTGTCCTGGGGCTTGCTGCTGGCTTGCTGGGATGCTTCCTGTCCTGGAATGCACTCCCCTTTTATCCAAGATGGACCAATGCTCCAAGGTTACAGGGTTAAAAAACTGCTCCACCCCATCTTTCCACTGGCTCTACTGTTCCAGGATTTGTTCTGGGGCACTATTTTATGGTTTTTCCGGAGGTAAATAAGGGAGAGAGACAGCAATATACTGCTTACTCTGCCATCTTGGCTCCCAGAAGTCCACTGAGGTCCTTTCTTGAGCTAAACTGCCAAACATTCAAACTCTACTCTAGCGAGTGCAATTCCAAGGAGGTGGCCACTTAGTTTTTGAATGCCAAATGTACACTGCCGAAAAAACTATTTTATGGAGAACTCACAAGGCAAGCTCTCACATGGAGGTCAGAAGAAGCAGTACAAGAAGAACTCTGGAACTGATTGTGTGACATGGGAGACACTGGCACAGGACCACCCAGCATGGTGTGCCCTCATCAGAGAAGGTGCTGTGCTCTATGAGCAAAGGAGAACTGAAGGAGCTCAAAAGAAAACTCGAGATGCACAGATTTAGAGAAGCCACCCTGAATGTTCACACGGACTATTTGTGCCCAACCTGTGGTGGTGCGTGTCAAGCTCTGATCAGCCACAGTCAGACACATTGCCATTTGACCCTAAGATAGTAATGTCACCTCGGTCCTCTTGGAGAATGAAGGACAACAACCAACCAGGAAAGAGTTCCTATTAGACACCCTCAGCCCCTCTGAGATGCCTTCAGGGGAGTTCCATGGCCCTGTGTTCAAAACAATGACTTCCTACAGGATCACAGCTTTATGCCTGGGAGAGAACTGAAAGGCCAAGGAGTCTCAGCCCCTCTCTCTCTTTTTTTCCCCAGCCCCTCCCTTTTATTATAGATGAGGAAACTGGAGCTCAGATGTGCAGTTACTTGCCCAGGATCCCACTGCTGAAATGTGTCTAAAAACAAATTCCAAACTTAGCATTTCCTTCACTACAACACACAGAGGTCTCATGTGATGACAGCCCTCACACACCTGCTTTCATCTCACTCACCTGGACAGGAGTTCCTTGGGCCTTTTTGCTCCAGCATCCCTGGTGCTTCCACTTGCTGAAAAAGGAAGATCAAATCTTCTCTAGGAACTGGAAGCCCTGAGTATAACGAATAAGGAAGGGATGAGGACAGAGAGAAATACATAATTTAGTTCTCTTTAGAGAAAGGCGACATGCAAGTAAGGACTACAGGAGGGTTCCCAGGACACCTCAAGGATGGTTTCCATGGTATTGACTGTTGGCATCTTTGGAGGGGGACGGAAATCATGCAGCTTATTTGGAATCTGAAAAATCCACCTTTATTCACCTCTTTCACAGAAGAATAGGCACACTGCAAAGCTTTCATTATCTAGAAATTGGAGGCTGCTGGCAGTCCAGTGGTAAGAGGTCTGAACCTGGAGTCCAAAAGATAAGTTCAAACCAGTCTCAGACACATAGTAGCTGTGTGCCCCTGGGCAAGTTACTTAACCTCTGCTTGCCTCAGTTCCCTAAACTATGAAATGGAGATAATAATACTACAGGGATGTTGTGAGGATCAAATGGTAATAATTATAAAGCACTTTTCCCAGACACTGAAGATACACACACATATATATATACACACGTATATCTATGTATGTAGGTATATGCTTAGTCTCTTCCCTTCCTTTCCTACCACCTGGGCTAGAATTTGAGAGAAGAATAAAGGAAGAATAAACATAAACTTGCTATGCCAGGCAGGATTAGGAGAAATAAGCTACCAGGGTAATGCCTCAGAGTTACCTGAGGAAAAGGTCCTTACCCACAGAAAGCAGGTTCTGGGAGGTTTCCAGCATGATCTCCTTGTACAGCTCTTTCTGAGAATGGTCCAACAGGCCCCACTCCTCCAGGGTGAAGTCCACAGCCACATCCTTGAACGTTACTGACTCCTAAAACATCAAATGCCACAAGATTTAGAGCTGAAAGAGACCAAAATTCATCTAGCCCAACCCTCATCAACTCAAGGAAAATGAAACACAGAAAGGATTTGCCCAAAACTCATAATCTTTATGAGTATCAGAGCCAACAAGTGAAACCATAGTCAATAACAGACCAGTGGAAGGTTGAGAAAAGCATTTTGTATTTGAAGTGAGAATCATGGTGGAATAATAAAAGTTGGAGAAATTTCTTACTATGAAATGCTTCTCTCTATGGAATTAGGGAGAAGGTATATGCTCTATCCATGAGTTATGAGAACATGAGGAGAATGCAAGAAAGTGATGTGAAATTCCTCCTGATCAGAAGTGTCATAAGTGATAATGTTAACAAAATTCTATGAAGACTATGAGAAGCTGATAAGTATGTTTTCTGTGGAAAAACATTACTAGTGATTTTTTAGGAGAAAACAAAGAAAAAGTAATTATCTAGTAAATTTTGTCAAAGGCCGAAATAAAGTCTTATCTAGATGAAAGCATGAAGAGGCTTCTTAAGAAATATTACTTACAATCTGGACTGGATTAAGTGGTTTGGGACTGTTTCCCGATAAGTGAAGAAAAGTTACCTGTTGTAATATTGAGGGCTTGGGGTAACACTGGATATGCTGTATCATAGCCAAAAACAAAACAAAACAAAAAAAAACCTTATCTTTGGTTTGTGATTGCCTTCCCTTTTTAATGGAATATATTAATTCATATTAATATTTAGCTATATAGAAATAAGAGTAAATATGATGGACAAAGGAGGGTTCCTTCATTTATTAAAAACGTAGCATTTTATTAGATGGAGTTGAAGATTAAGCTAATTCATAAGAAAGACATTGACAATTTATGAAAAAGAAATAATTTAAACATACCCCTTGAACTTTTGAATATTTGGGACCAAGAGTCAAGAAAATGAGTTAAGAGGCAAACTGATGGATCTCATACAAGAGAGTGGCAATATTTGCAATCTTCAATACTTGGGAGGGATCATCTATTTTTCCAACCTGCTACGTGCAGACCCCATGTTTGGCTAATGCACTCAACATTTGATGTTCTTCCATTCCTAGCAGAATGATACGATTCATCTTTTCAGAAGTCCTATTAATTTGGAGCAATTCTCTTTTACGTAGATAAAAAATCTTTCACATTTTGTCATTTTGATTTCTTCCTTAAAATGTGTGATTTATGTTCTATTTGTAGCCTATATTTCACTTTTAGTTTCCTTTATTTACATTACTGAATTTCTGAGCAATTACAGAATGTATTAGTCTTTTCCCAATTTTTTAGATTCCCAAGAATTTACAAAATTTTCCATTTCACTGGAGTCTCCTGAGTCATATGACTATAGATAGCTTTGATTTCATCTGAAAACTGCCTGTTCCTATCCTTTGACCATTTGTCAATTGGGAAATGGCTTGGAGTCTTATAAATTTTACTCAGTTCTCTATAAATTTGAGAAATGAGGCCTTTATCAGAGACACTTGCTGTAAAAATTGTTTCCCAGCTTTCTGCTTTCCTTCTAATTTTGGCTGCGTTGGTTGTTTGTGCAAAAGCTTTTTAATTTAATATAATCAAAATTATCTATTCTGCATTTCTTAATGCTCTCTATCTACTCGTTTGGTCATGAATTCTTCCTTTCTCTATAGATCTGACAGGTAGACTATTCTTTACTCTTCTAATTTGCTTATGGTGTCATGCTATATGCCTAAATCATGTATTCATTTTGACCTTATCTTGGAATATGGTGTGAGATATTGGTCTATACCTAGTCGGTGCCCTTTTGGTTTCTAGTTTTCCCAGTAGCTTTTGTCAAATAATGAGTTCTGATCCCAGAAGCTAGGGTCTTTGGGTTTGTCAAAAAGTAGATTACTATAATCATTGATGACCGTGTCTTGTGTACTTAATCTATTCCACTGATATAGCACTCTGCTTCTTAGCCAGTACCAAATAGTTTTGACGATTACTAATTTAAAATATAGTTTGAGATCTGGTATTATTAGGATACCTTCCTTTGTATTTTTTTTTCATTAATTCCCTTGATATTCTTGACCTCCTGTTCTTCCAGATGAATCTTGTTGTTTTTTCTAGCTCTATCAAATAATTTTTGGCAGTTTGATTAGCGTAGCACTGAGTACGTAAATTAACTTAGGTTGAATTGTCATTTTTTATTATATTGCCTCAGGCTACCCATGAGCGATTGATATTTTTTTTTCACTTATTTAGATCTGACTTTATTTGTGTGAAAAGTGTTTTGTAATTGTGTTCATATAGTTCCTGGATTTGTCTTGGCAGGTAGACTCCCACATATTTTATCATGTTTACAGTAACTTTAAATGAAATTTCTCTTTCTGTCTCCTGCTACTGGGCTTTGCTGATGACAGGAAGAAAGGCTGATGATTTACATGGGTTTATTTTAAATCCTGCAACTTTGTTAAAATTGTTAATTATTTCAAGTGGTTTTTTAGTCAATTCTCTAAGGTTCTCTAACCTTATCATCTGCAAAGAGAGATAGCTTTATTTCTTCATTGCCTATTCTAATTCCTTTGATTTCTTTTTCTTCTCTTATTGCCACAACTAACATTTCTGGTACTATATTGAATAATAATGGTAATAATAGTCATCCTTGCTTCACCCCTGATCTAACTGGGAAGCCTTCTAGCTTATCCCCATTACAGATATTGCTTGCTGATGGTTTTAGATAGACACTGCATATCATTTTAAGGAATGTTCCCTTTATTCCTATGCTCTCTAGTGTTTTTAATAGGAATGGGTGCTATATTTTGTCAAAAGCTTTTTCAGCATTTATTGAGATAATCATATGATTTCTGTTGATTTTATTAATGATATGATCAATTATATTGATGGTTTTCCTAATGATGAACCAATCCTAGATTTCTGGTATAAATCCCACCTGGTCATGGTGTATAATCCTTGTGATACATTGCTGCAATCACAATTTCTGCATTGATATTCTTTAGGGAAATTGGTCTGTAATTTTCTTTCTCTGTCTTAGTTCTTCCTGGTTTAGGTATCAGCACCACATCTGTGTCATAAAAGGAGTTTAGTAGGACTCCTTCTTCACCTATTTTTTCCAAACAGTTTATATAGTACTGGAATTAATTGTTGTTTAAATGTTTGATCTCTCTGCCCCTTTAAAACACACCTTAAGCACCATTATCTTCATGAAGCCTTATCTGCCATCTCCCACTGCTCATAGCCTCCCTTCACAAACACTTTCTATTTAAACCTTCGTATTTATTTCACTTTATTCAATCATATTGATATTGATTCACTCATATCGATTTTTAGGGGTACCTGTAGTCTCCTCTATTAGAATGTAAGCAGGGATTGTTCCATTATCTGTAGCTTTTTCCTCACCACTAGTCCAATGCCTGGCACAAAGCAGTCCCATCAGAAACAATGGATGACTGATTGGGCCATTTGACTAGACCTTCTCCTCCTTTTTCATTCTTAATCATTCTCCAAAGTTGACCTTGGGCTCAGGGCCTAGATCTGGACGTGGCCATTCTCTCTCACCACCCCTGCCATCTGTCCCTTTCCCATTCTGTCTCCACTTGTGGCTATTGGTCCCCTTCTCTCCCCTTCTTCCATGCACTGCCGCCTGGACCCTCTTGTGCAGCTTTCCTGATGCTGTCACACCAGGAGGAGGAGGGTCTGCTGGGATCCCTGGAGCACACACACATAAGGTGGGATCCTCTCAAGGGGGAGGGGGCCAGGCAGTGGTGTGACAGTAAAGGCTGAACACCCGGCTTTCTGAGAAGCACAGCACACGTCTAAGGATGTGTGCATCACGGTCACCACCTTCCTGGGTCTCGAAAACCAACATATCCCTCAAGCCTTGACTCGTAGCACCGGCCAATTCTCAAGACCCAGAACAGTGCCAGGCACAGAGCAGCCACTTTCTAATGCTTATTGACTTGACCTAAGAAATGGTAAACGAGAGGGACTCAGAGAGACCTGGGAAGGTGTGTGTGCGAGCTGAGGCAGAACCAAGAGGACAATTTCTGCTCTGCAGACAACACAGTCCAGGACCAGAGCTGGTGGCGCCTTCAGGCCTCTGCTCCAGGCCTGTCCAGGCAAGACTCAGGTGGGAAGGGATGTTCCTTGACCTACAGCTGCTACAGGGGAGAGCCTGGCCACAAGAAACAGAGGACGGGGAGGACTTGTATGTAGTGGGAGCGCAGATAGGCAGGCAAGAAGACAGCAAAGCCACAAGGCCTAGGGACAGAAACTGAGTGAAGTGGTCACCCTTGTCAGTCACTCCTAATGAGGGGGAACCTAAAAAACACAGAGAGGGTAGCAATTGGGGGGGGGGGGGAGGTTAGTGCTCAAGATAAAAAAGTGCCACTGGTACACTTCAAAAGAGAGAAGAGAGCAGGGCAGGGTGGTTACTACTGTATCCAGTTTTATATCAGTTTTTGTAAAGAAACAATCCATAGGAAAGAGACCCGACCAGCCTCAATGACAATTTTCTGTGTCTATGGAAATGGCCACATTGGCTGACACTGGTCAGTTCTGGGGACGGACTGTACTCACCTGTGTTGGGGGTCTCTGGGTCCCGGGGGCCATTCCTTCTGGTTCTGGCTTCTGGCTCCCTGCTTGGGCCAGGTCTTGCAGGCACAGCCGGGAAGGAACAAGGATGCCTGAGGGGCAGCCGTCTTTCCCTTTTCTTCCTAGGCAGGAGGCTGACCTACAGGGATTTAGAGAGTGAGGTCCCAGAGGAGTCACAAAAACCATGGCCCTGTCCTGAGGGGATAGCCTCCAACCAACAGGGGAGGGCAGCAAGCAGGGCCGGGGTGGGGAAAAGAAGGTCTGCAAAGGAAGACTACTTACCGCACTCACTTAATCCTTCCCTTCTGTCCCACTCCCCTCTCCATCCTTGTACAGAGACCCAAGGGGCAGAAGAGGCCCAGGATCCCGGATGGGACGAGACCAGTTGGAGCCTCGGTAACTCCTAAATCAGAGCTCTCCCTTCATCTGACGTTACGGGTGAGAATGGCAACCCAATGGTAAAGACGGCAATAGCACCCCAGGCCCTTTGGGGTGTGATGTGGAGCCTGGACAAGTAGCAGGGGGAGAGCAGCCCTAGGAGCCAGACCTAAGGAGGCCTGCTCCTGGCTCCTTGAAGGACACTCACCAAGAGGTCAGATGGGGAAGATGAGGCCCAGGGGAAAGCGCAGCCAGCACAAGCTAGCGGCAGTGAGGGATGCTCGCTCAGGCCTCCCTGGGATCTACAGTCATAGAGCTGGCTTCCAGAAGGCAGAGAGATCTCGGCCCTCGTGGAAGGCAGAGCACTCTCTACCCCAATGAAGAAAGGCAGAGACGTCAGCTCCAAGGCCTTCTGTTTCGAGCCTGCCTGAGTCCTCCTAGACCAGGAGCAGGGAACCTACAGTCTCAAAGCCACACATGGCCTTCTAAGTCCTCATGTGCAGCCCTTTGACTGAATACAAACTTCACAGAACAAATCCCCTTAATAAAAGGATTTGTTTTGTAAAACTTGGATGCAGTCAAAAGGCTGCACCTGCGGCCTGGAAGGCCACGTGTGGCTTCGAGGCCGCTGGTTCCACACCCCGTCCAAGAACCCCACCCTGCCCTGCCTCTGAGGCCCCCAAAACAGACATTTCCTCCAGTGGCTCCCAGGGCCAGGACTTCAGGACACTGCCTACCTCCCTCTAAGCTACCAGCACTGCCCTCCATCACCTGGAACGACCCCTCTTCTGCCCTGGTTCTCAAAGGCTTCCAAACTCCACTTGATTTCCATCTGGGCTACTGCCCCCAATCCGGTCCCCTCTGGGAGCTCCCTCTCCCGTATCCCTGCTATTCCCCTCCATGTTTTCAGCATCCAGTGACCCTGGCCTCCCTGCTGTTCTCACAGGTGACTCTCCATCACTATACAGCATTTTCACTGGCTCCCCCCTCCTCCTTGTCTCTGCCTCTGGGTTTCACCAGTTTCCTTCATGTCTCAACTAAAATTCCATCTTCTGCAAGAAGCCCTTCTTGGTCCACCTTCTCTGTTTGAGTTCCTGAAATTTACCTTCTACATATTCCGTATGTAGGAAACAAACATATATTAAATGCCTACTATGTGCCAGGTAAGAGCGCTTCACAAATATGACCTCATCTGACCCTAACAACAAGAGATTCTAATTAGATAAAGAAACGTAGGGGAGTCCATGAGGATTGGGGCGGAATACTTGTGGGTGGTAGCAAGACCAAGGGCATGAACATGTGTCTGAGCAGCTTTGGTGAAGCGGAGAAGAAGGTCATGGGCAGTGAGGAGAACGTGGACCATCTCTACGTATGCTGAGGTGCAGAGAAAGGCCCTGGGCCTGGCACTGAAATAGTTGAGAAAGAAAGGAGAATACCACCAAGGTTAGCAGATGACAGCTAGCAGAAATGGGACTGGGTGAAAAACGGGACCTGAATGAAACTCCCAGGAGGAGAGGCTACTGGGTAATGGCGGTGGTAGGAGAATCTGGAAACGGGCGACAAGCTGGTGTTGGGGAAATGTGGTGACGCCTCTTTTGTGCCCAAGGTCAGAGCTAGTGACAAGGTGTGTGTTCACACGCATCCCAGGCTGCCTCCTGCCTACTAATGGTGGCTGCTCCTCCCGCTGGGGGCTTCTGACCTGAGCGTCCACTCCGGGGAAGGGCCCAGCCCAGCCGTCCTCCACTCTCTGACTACATCTTCACGCCTCAGCCCCGATGGCCCACTCTCTCACTGGGGGAAGGGCCCAGCCCAGCCGTCCCTCGTTCCCCACAGACCACCAGGCCCTTACAAGGGCTCCTCCTTGTCTTCCCCTTCTCCCCTGTCCTTCCAGGTGTTCTCACCCCTCTCCTCCCCCTTCCCCCTCCCACACTTTAGAAGGTCTGTTCCTTGAGGACAGAGGGCACAGCTAGGTGACACAGTGGAGAAAGTGCCAGGCCTGGAGTGAGGAAGACTCATCTTCCTGAGTTCAAGTCTGGCTTCAGATCCTTGCTAGCTGTGTGACCCTGGGCAAGTCCCTTCACCCAGTTTGCCTCAGTTTCCTCATCTGTAAAATGAGCTGCAGAAGGATAGGGCAAACCACTCCAGCATCTTGGCCAAGAACGCCCCAAATGGGGTCATGGAGAGCTGGGCACGGCTGAAAAGCCAAAGCGGGGAGAGACACCATTCTTCTTTTTGGGGCACAGGCAGCACCAGTGCTTGGCACAGTGAGGGGCACACAGCCAGCACTTAGTACCCGCTCCCTGACTGAGGCCAGCCGCTCCCCCCGGCCCTCCTCGCGCTGTGCGGGGTCATTTGCAAAGGGGCAGCACCGCGGAAAGCCTCTCCCCAGGGTCAGGAGGGGAGTCCCGATGACGTCATCCCGAGCCCTCCCTGCCTCCAGCAGGGCCTCCAGTAAAGGAGGCTGGGGCCGGGGAGGGGGTCCCCAAGGCGTGGTGTCACCCCGAAGGCGCACGGGGCAGCCTGGGGAGCAGGTGAGGAGCCCCCAGCAGCCCCTCCCCCACCGAAGCACGCGCACGCGCGCACCATCAGCAGCACACGTTCGCCAGCCCCTCCCCCATCGGGGCACACGCACGCACACACACGTGCAATCACACACAATTCAGACACGCGGTTACAAGGACACAGCAGCCCCTCCCCTCTGTCACACCCCCTGCACACTCGCACTGGTCCCACACCCTCCCTCTCTTGCACACGCACGCACAGACCCACGCACACGCACAAACTTCTGGGGACGCTGCCACGCTACCCCGAACTGGGTCCTAAGGTGTGTGTGCGGAGGGAGGGGGTGCGTAAGGAGAGGGGCGGGGCATCCCCGCCGGGCGGGGAGCCGGGGCCGCGCCTGCGCACTGACTTCCTCCTTCCCGCCCTCCCCTCCCCCACTCACCCAGCGCGGCTCAAGAAGGAAGAGCCCCACCGCCCTTCTGGTCCCTTGATCGAGCCGCGCCTGCGCACCACGAGATTCCCGGCATGCCCTTGGGGGCTGCGACTGCCGCCGGAGGAGGGGCGGAGACAGGACGTGACGTCACAGCGCGGCATTCAGGGCCATCAACGGCTACGTGCTCAGACCCCTCGTAGTTCCATGGGAACACTGGCGGGGTGGGGGGTGTGTGACGTCATTCACCGCCCGGCCCGGCGTCGGGGGCGTTCTCCCCCCACCCTCCTTTCTGCGTCCGGGTCTGGGCCGCCCCCCTGTAGAGTGTAAGGTTCTGGAGGGCGGGGCCCCTCCTTCTGCACACAGTAGGCGCCTAATGTGTGCTTCTTGCTCCAGTGATCCCCAAAGGACCCTGAGAAGTGGGGCTGTTATCACCCATTCTTACAGAGAAGGAAACTGAGGCAGAGGCTAACAGCTGACTGGTTGAAGGCACGGGATCTGTTCTTTCCTCCTGGGCCCTTTGGAAAACACTCCAACGACTCTCTTCTTTTGGGGGAGCAGGGGGACTCCCCCAAGGAGGGGGAAACGTCTCCCTAGTTAGAGGGGTCTGGTGACTCAGGGGACGGATTCGGGGCCTGGAACGGGAAGGTCTTGGTGACCCTGGGCAAGTCACTTCACCTCTGTTTGCCTCAGTTTACTCAACTGTCATATAAAGATAATAAACGCACCCCCCCCCCCCAGGTTGTTGTGAAGAGTGTCCATAGTGGACGGTGGGAAAAACCAACCCGACTCCATTTTGTCTCATGGTCATTCTTGGCCTCATAAGCCGATGCCTCTTGCAGGGGCCCTGAATGTCTCCTTCAGAACCTCCCCCAGCCCCATATTACCAAGGAAGACTCGGAGGACTGGGAAGGTTCCAGGAGCTCAGCCCCTTCCCTTTATCCTACTAAAGCCGGCAAGGCTCAGGAGGTTAACAATCGCTGACTAATAAAGATACTACTTTCATTGCTGTTCAGTCTTCTTGATCCTGACTGACCCTTCCTGACTCCCTTTGGAGTTTTCTTGGCAAAGATACTGGAGTGCCTTGCCATTTCCTTCTCCAGCTCATTTTATAGTTGAGGAAACTGAGTCAAATAGGGATAAGTGACTTGCTTGGGTCACACAGCTAAGTGTTGGAAGCCAAATTTGAACTCAGACCTTTGTAGTTCTGAATCTATCCGGTGCACCATCTTTAAATGATGGAAGCATCCTCTTTCTTTCTCTCTCTCTTTCTCTCTCCCTCTCCCCTATCTTCCCTTCCTTCCTTCACAGATACCATAGGACCAGCCCCAACCCCCTTTTCAGTTTTCTTACATATTAATTCCCTCTACCTCCTCTCTGACTCAAGAGCACTGGCCTCCTGGCTGATCCTTGACCAGACCCTCCGTCCCTGACCCTGTGCCTTCCCAATGGCTGCCTCTCATGCTTGGCATGCCCTCCCCCCTCACCTGGGCCTCGTGGCTTCCCTCTCATCTCAGCTGAAATCTCACCTTCTGAAAACAAGCTTTTTCTGGTCCCTGACACTGCCAGAGCCTTCCCTCCCAAGTGCCTCCCATCTATAAGTATAGAGCTTGTCTGAACACAGTTGCTGTAGTCTTCTCCCACCTTAAACGAGTTTATTTTATTTCCCAGGTGGACACTTTGTATCCATAGAAGAACCTGCCTGACACAGAGTAGCTACAGTAATCCCTTCCACGTGGTAGGGGTTAGGGACACTGGCCCCACCCCCACCCTGTGATCTGGAAAATCTGAGTAAAATTTTGTGACCCTCCCTTCCTACCAGAGAAGTCTGAATTATTTTTTTTTAAAGGCAGTTGGGGTTAAGTGACTTGCCCAGGGTCACTCAGCTAGTAAGCGTCAAGTGTTTGGTCTGAGGCCAAATTTGAACTCAGGTCCTGCTGACTTCAGGGTCGATGCTTTATCCCACTGTGCCACCTAGCTGCCCTGAATTTTTTCTTTTTCTTTTTCTTGTACATTGTGTTTACAATACCTTACTGTAAAAGTTGGGTTAAGAATTTGGTCATAGGCTGTATGTAAGTCAATGTTAAGTAAAAATACTAGCCTTTGTGTATCATCTGCTGGTTTTCACATTCTTTTCGCTAAATTTAACTTTTTACTTATTTTAACTTTAAAAAAGAAACTGTATATTTATGATGTTAAAAGATAAAATATGTTGATATTATATAATACTATACCTATATTTTACGCATTTCTGAGTTTCTAAACTTTCCCTGTGTCATCTGCTGGCCTTCCCTTCTGTGGCTTCTCTAAAACTCCCCAAAAATTCTCATTTAATTTCTTTTGCCTACCTACAATATATGGAAACCTCATTGGGGAAAGTCATGATATGGTAGGGATAACTAATTCCTGGGTTTGTCTTGGCAGGTAGACTCCCAAGTATTTATATTGTCTATAGTCATTTTAAATGAAATTTCTCTATCTCTTGCTCCTTGGCTTTGTTGGTGATATATAGAAATAGTGATAATTTATATGGGTATGTTTTATTTATACCACTTTGCTGAAGTAGTGAATTATTTAAACTAGTTTTTTAGGTGATTCTCTAGGATTCTCTAAGTATACCATCATATCATGTGCAAAGAATGATAACTTTGTTTCCTCATTGCCTGTCCTAATTCCTTCAATTTCTCTTACTTCTCTTATTGCTGTAACTAACATTTCTAGTACAATATTCAATAATAGTGGTGATAATGGGCATCCTTGCTTCCCTTCTGATTTTATTGGGAAGGCTTCTAGCTTATCCCCATTACAGATGATGTTTGCTGATGGTTTTAGATAGGTAATACTTATCATTTTAATGAAAGCTCCATTAATTCCTATGCTTTCGAGGGTTTTTAATAGGAATGAGTTTTATTATATATTTCAAAGGAGTAGCAAATTGTACACGATAGATTTGTAGTTTCATGTGCAATCATTTTTAAAAATTATACTGTTATGGAAATGCTTGCTTTATTCTATAAATCAAAAGTAAAGTAAATTTAAAAAATTTAAATGGGAATGGGTATTATATTTTGTCAAAGGTTTTTTCTTCATTTATTGAGATAATCATATGACTTCTGTTGGTTTTCTTATTGATGTAGTCAATTATGTTGAACGTTTTCCCAGTATCTAACTCACCCTGCATTACTGGCATAAATCCCACCTAATAATAGTTTATGATCCTTGCGATATATTACTGTAATCTCCTTGCTAGTATTTTATTTAAAATGTTTGTATCAATATTCCTTAGGGAAACTGGCATATAAGCTTCTTTCTCTGTTTTTGTTCTTCCTGGTTTAGGTCTCAAAATCATATTTGTGTCATAAAAGGAATTTGGTAATACTCCTTCACCTATTTTTCCAAATGGTTTATATTGTATTGGAATTAATTATTCTTTAAATGTTAGCATTTACTTGTGAATCCATCTGGCCCTGGGGATTTTTTCTTAGGGAATTCATTGATGGCCTGCTCAAGTTTTTTCCTAATATTGGGTTATTTAAATATTCTATTTCATCTTCTGTTAATGTGGGCAAATTATATTTTTGTAAACGTTCAGCCATTTTGCTTAGATTGTTAGATTTGTTGGCATATAATTTGGCAAAATAGCTTCTAATTCTTTAATTTTCTCTTCACTAGTGATGAATTCATACACTTCATTTTTTTTTATACTGGTAATTTGGTTATCTTTTTTTATTTTTTAAATCAAATTAACCAAAGGTTTATCTGTTTTATTGTTGTGAGTTTTTTGTATATATAAAACCAGCTTCTAGTTTTACTTATTAGTTCAATGGTTTTCTTATTTTTAATTTTATTAATTTCTCCTTTGATTTTTAGGATTTTCAGTTTAGTTTAATTGGGGATTTTTCATTTGTTCTTTCTAGGTTTTTTTAAAGTTTCATGCCCAATTAATTGATCTGCTCTGTCTCTCTTTTACTGATATAAGAGTTTAGAGTTAAAAATTTCCCCCTAAGTACTGTTTTGACTGTGTCCCATAAATTTTTATATGTTGTCTCATTGTTGTGATTCTCTTCAATGAAATTATTGGTTGTTTCTATGATTTGATCTTTCATCAATTCATTCTTTAGGATTAATTATTTAATTTCCAATTTTTTAATCTATATTTCCACTGCATTTTGTTGAATGTAATCAAATTTTCTGTTCATCTCTAGTTTTTCATCAGGAATGCTTGAAAGTCCTCTACTTCACTGAATATCTATTTTTCCCCTAAAGGATTATGCTCAGTTTTGCTGAGTAGGTGATACTTGGTTGTAATCCTAGCTCCTTTGCCTTCCAAAATATCATATTCCAAATCCTTCAGTCCTTTAATGTGAAGCTGCTAAATCCTGTGTAATTTGACTGTGGCTCCACAAAATTTGTTTTTGTTTTTGTTTTCTTGGTGAGTCAATTGGGGTTAAATGACTTGCCCAGAGTCACACAGCTAGTGAGTGTTATGTGTCTGAGGCCAGATTTGAACTCAGGTCCTCCTGACTCCAGGGCCGGTCCTCTATCCACTGCACCACCTAGCTGCCCCATTCTCCACAATATTTGAATTGTTTCTTTCTGGCTGCTTGCAATATTTTATTCTTGACCTGGGAGTTCTTGAATTTGGCTATAATATTTCTGGGAGTTTTCCTTTGGGGATCTCTTTCAGGAGGTGATCAGTGGATTCTTTCAATTTCTATTTTACCCTCTGGTTCTAGAATATCAGGGCAGTTTTCCTTGATAATTTCTTGAAAAATATTGTCCAGGTTCCTTTTTTTTTTTTTTTTCTGTTTATGACTTTCAGGTAGCCCAATAATTCTTTAATTATCTCTCCTGGATCTCTTTTCCAAGTTAGTTGTTTTTTCCAATGAGATATTTCACATCTTCTTCTATTTTTTTTTTCCATTATTTTGGTTTTGATTGATTCTTGATGACTTATGGAGTCATTAGCTTCCATTTGCCCAGTTCTAGTTTTTAAGGAATTATTATCTTCAGTTAGCTTTTGTACCTCTATTTCCATTTGGCAAATTCTGCTTTTTAAGGAGTGGTTTTCTTCTGTGAATTTTTGTACATCTTTTTTCCATTTTTTTGTGCTACCCTTACTAAGCTTTTGACTCTTTTTTCATGATTCTCTTGTATCACTCGTTTTCCCCCCAATGTTTATTATACCTGTCTTATTTGATTTTTAAAATACCAGGAGTTCTTTTTGGGCCTAAGACCAATTCACATTTTTCTATGAGGTTTCAAATACAGACATTTTGACATTGTTGGCCTCTTCTCAGTTTGTGTTTTTACCTTCCCTATCACTGTAGTATCTTTCTAGGGTTAGGTTCTGTTTTCGTTCATTTTTTTTCCAGACTATTTTATGACTTTTAAAGTCGAAACCTGCTCCTAGGATTGAGGGAGCACTACCTCAAGCTTCTTCTGGCATGAGCTTGGCCACTTGCCTGCTGCACTGGGGACTCGAAGCCTCACAGGTGGCCTGCTGTGTTGTTGGTCTGTTGTGTCAGGGCCAGGGGACTCAGTTTCTGATTTGTGCCAGGGCTCAAGGTTTCCCACTGTCTCGCTGTGGTGCACCCTGTTGCTGGCTTTCCTGGACACTGCCAGCACTGGACTGTGTGCCCCTTTTGCCCAAGTGAGACAGACCTGTCCTGCTGATCTTCTAAGTTGTCTTAGGTTGGAAAATTGTTTCACCCCATATTTTTGTTGGTTCTACCACTCTAGAATTGTTTTGAGGTGTTATTTTATAGTTGTTTGAAGGTGAATTTGGGAGAATTCAGTTGAATTCCTGCTAAATTGGCTCTACCCCCCCCTCCCCAAGAAGGTACATTTCTGCTAAAAGGGAAAAGATATTTAAACCATTTCAAAGACCTTTAGCAGAGCCATTTATTCCAGTCCAAAGAAAACAGTATCTTCTCTTGCTTTTAGAAGACTGGATCATTTAGGGCACAAGAAAGTCATCTACTGCCTATGACCTCCTGGTTCAGACCTGCCTGGGCTCTGCAAGCGCAGCACTGGACAAAATACTTTGGATGACTACTGCTTTCTAGTATAGTTTCAGATTTGGTCTTGCTAGGTCTCCTTCCTAGAATATTAGAAGAGGCTGTGGAAAGAAACATGAATGTATTTTTGAGGAGAACACATCTTTAGAGTTGGAAGGGACTATAGAAGCTGGAGCCAATCTCATTTTAGAGATGAGTAAAGTAAGGCATGGAGAGGTTGATCCTTGTCCAGAGTTACAGAGCTAGAGAGTACTTCAGTCAGGATTTGAACCCAAAACTTCCCGATTCCAAACCCAGAGTTCTATGCTTTACAAGTATTGTCTTCATCTACGCTGTTCTGAATGTCCATTTGAATTGAAAGAAAAGCCTCTAAACTGTCAAGATGTTTAAGCATACTGACCTCACTGTTACACTTAGGACCCAAGGAATGATAATCATTTATAAAGCTAGCATTTCCATAGCGACCTAAGTCTTGCTCTCATTTTACAAATATTGTCTTATCTGATGTTCACATCAAGCAGGTAGGTACTCTTATTGTTCCCATTTTACAGATGGGGAAACTCAGGTAGGAATAGATTAAATGATTTGTTCAGGGTAATAATGCAGTTAGTAAGTTTCAGAGACTCAATTTGAACTCAGGTCACGTGGCTTCAAGCACAACACTCTATCAGCTGGGCTACCTAAATGCTTAAAGAAAGCACGACAGAAATATCTCCAACAAATACCAAAACATTTATATGAGGACTGTTTGTGCCAGCAAACAATAGGGAAAAAGTGAGTACCAATTAATTGGGGAACGGCTGAAGGAGGTACAATATATGAATGCCACAAAATAATGAAAAGTAATGACAAATAGCAGGATTTCAGAGAAAAATTCATTACATTTATAGGACTTTATGCACAATATTCTATCTGGGATTTCTAATGAGGTCTATCACATGGGAGGTGAAATGAAATCTGTGTTTCAGCAAAAGACTTTCCCTTGTTAATTAGATCCAAGACTTTTATCTGGAGTATGATTTCTCCATGGTACAGTCAAATATGAGCTCTAGGTGAAGGAAGCTCTTGCCACAAACACTGCTTCTATAAGCCTTCATTCCAATATGAATATGGTTGTCTACTGATCTCCCTCTTCCAGAGAAAAGCACGTCCCCTTTGAGAACATTCTAAGTCTTTTCTCCACACTAAATCCTCTTCTGTAAAATAAGAGATGATCTTGGGCTGAAGGCCTTCTGACATAGAATCTATACAGGGCTTCTCCTCAGAATGATTATTCTGATGTTAAACAAGCTCTGTACTTCATTTCCATGCCCTTCCTCATTCATTACAGTGATAAGATTTCTATCTAATATGAATCCTCTGATGGAAAATAAGGGATGATTGTTGCCTGTAGGCTTTACAACAATGGTTATATTTCTAAAGTTTCTTTCCATTGTGGATTCTGTCATGTTCATTAAACTTAGAGTGGTAACTAAAGGCTCCAGCACATTCATGGCACTTATGAAGTTTCCCTGTGCTATGGATTCTCAGATGTTCAGCAAGACTGGAGCCTTTCCACACAGAGTACATTCAGCAGTGTGGATTCTCTGATGTTCAATCAGATTGTAATTAATCACAAAACCTTTCAAAATTGATTATGTTCATAAGGGTTCTCTTTTAGGTGGGTTCTCTGATGTGCAATAAGATTAGAGTACTGTCGGAAAGTCTTTCCACATTGATTACAGTCATAAGGATTCTCTTTTGTGTGGATTCTCTGATGTGTATCAAGACTGGACTTTCTTGTGAAAGCCTTTCCACATCGATTACATTCAAAAGGTTTTTCTCCAGTATGGATTCTCTGATGTGTAGCAAGACTGGAGCTGTATCTAAAAACCTTTCCACATTGATTACATTCATAAGGTTTCTCTCCAGTGTGTGTTCTCTGATGTGTAGCAAGACCGGACTTCCTTGTAAAAGCCTTTCCACATTGATTACATTCATAAGGTTTCTCTCCAGTGTGGATTGTCTGATGGGCAGCAAGATGGGACTTCTTTCGGAAAGTCTTTCCACATTCATTACATTTATAAGGTTTCTTTCCAGTGTGGATTCTCTGATGTGCAATAAGATTGGAGTTCTGTCGGAAAATCTTTCCACATTGATTACATTCATAAGTTTTCTCTGCAATGTGGGTTCTCTGATGTGTAGCAAGACTGGAGTTCCATTGGAAAGCCTTCCCACATTGATTATCTTCATAAGGATTCTCTTTTGTGTGGATTCTCTGATGTGCAATAAGATTGGAGTTCTGTCGGAAAGTCTTTCCACATTGATTACATTCATAAGGTTTCTCTCCAGTGTGAGTTCTCCGATGTGCAGCAAAACTGGAGAGGTATCTGAAAGCCTTTCCACATTGATTACATCCATAAGGTTTCTCTCCAGTGTGAATTCTCTGATGTGCAGCAAGGTCAGAGTTACGTTGGAAAGCTTTCCCACACTGTTTACATTCATAAGGTTTCTCTCCAGTGTGAATTCTCTGGTGTTGCAAAAAGGTTGATCTGGAGCAGAAGGCCTTTACACATTGATTACATTTGTAAGGTTTCTCTCCAGTATGAATTCTCTTATGTGCAGCAAGACTGCACTTCTGTTGGAAAGCCTTTCCACATTGATTACATGCATAAGGTTTCTCTCCAGTGTGAGTTCTCTGATGGAGCAAAAAGTTTGATCTGGAGCAGAAGGCCTTCCCACATTGATTACATTCATAAGGTTTCTTTCCAGTATGAATTCTCTGATGTACAGCAAGATTGCAGCTCTGGTGGAAAGTCTTTCCACATTGATTACATTCATAAGGTTTCTCTCCAGTGTGAATTCTCTCATGTATAGCAAGACTGATGCTCCATCGGAAAGCATTTCCACATTGTTTACATTCATAAGGTTTCTCTCCTGTGTGAATTCTCTGATGACCAATAAGGGCTGATTTGTAGCAGAAGGCCTTTCCACATTCATTACATTTATAAGGTTTCTCTCCAGTGTGAATTCTCTGATGGCTAATAAGACGTGATCTATAGCTGAAGGCCTTTCCACATTCATTACATTTATAAGGCTTCTCTCCAGTATGAATCTTCTGATGTTTAACTAGATCTGATTTTAAACGAAAGGTCTTCCCACACTGATTACATGCATGTGTTTTCATTCCAGTATGAAATCCAGGATGATGAGGAAGAGCTGAGTGATGGGTTAAGGTAGCTACAACTTCATTACATTCACAAGGATTCTTTCCAGGGCAAATTTTCTGATGGCTAATGATTTTAGAATTCCAGCTGAAGGCCTTTCTTCCTTCATTAAATATATAAAGCTTTTTGCCAGTATAACTTTTCTGATGCCCATTGAGGTCTGAACTCAAGCTGAAGGCCATTTTCTCTTCATTACCTTGA